GGGAGGGAGGGAGGGAAGGAAGGAGGGAGAGGCAGACAGACAGAAAAAGAAAAAAGAGAGAGAAAGAAAGAGACAGACAGACAGAGAAAGAAAGAAGGAAAGACAGAGAGACAGAAAGAAAGAAAGAAAGAAAGAAAGAAAGAAAGAAAGAAAGACAGACAGACAGACAGACAGAAAGGCCCAGTCCAGAAGGTAAAACAGAGCCAATATTAAGGTTCTTGAAGTGTATGGTTCGGCTTGCCAACTTGTCAGGAAAGGATTCCTGGGGAGGTTAACATCTACCTAGGATGAATGATGAACAGATAGAAAAGTACAAAAATGGGAGTAGCCTACATAGTGGCTGTAAATTGAGAAAGACTAAGGCACACCTGGTGTGGAGTTTGGGGTCCAGCTGGAAAAACAAGTTACAGGCAGGGCAACAAACAATGTTGAATATTGGCCAAAGGGCACAGATTTACACCTAAAGCCCATGCCCATATGTGTCCAGCTGGTAGGGGGAAAAGGAGGTCAGCATACTCCTACTCACCAGAGGCTCTGCTTTCAGGGTTCCTAGACAGGACACTTGGCAGCCCAATTACTAGCTCTATGCATGAAGACCAACCTCAGGGAAAGAGTCACTAATAACTAATAAGCTGCTGATGAGCAGTGGTGCGAATTATATCTAAGCAACTAGGCATCCCGTAGGCCGCGCAGAGATCAAGCAAGACCCCAAGGTCTGAAGACAGGAAAGCTAAAGGCTTCAATAAAGTAGGATGGCAAATCAAAAGGTCACAGTAAGTCTCAGCTGTCCAAACTAGAGCTTAGGGGTCACCAGGCCTCAGTACAGCTCAGAGTTGTCTGGGAACACCTAAGGTGTCCCAGGCTTCTTTGAAGCTGTGGCTGTCAATTATGACTAATATCTAGCACCCAACCCAGCATTTGAGGATCCCACAGATAAGTGGCAGCTCCCCAGCTGTACTGAGAACATTAAAAGATCAGCCTGGATCAGTGAGGTCCCTGGGGCCTCAAGGGCCATCTGCGCAGCTTCTCCCCACCACACTAATGGAGCAAGATGAAGTCTTCAGAATCCCCTGGAGGAAGTACCCTGGGGCACTCTGTTTGGAAACATTCTTAGATCCTCAGGTGTCTGAGGCACTTCCCTTCCCCAGAGGCCCACTTTCCAAGTACAATCCTTGCACAGGACTTTAGTTCTTTTACTTATTTAGCTTTTGAGGCGGGTGCAGTTCCCAGGGCTGTGAACTGTACGGGGAGGTAGGTGACTTATTTCCCACCCACAACCCCTGACGCAGATACTGGGGTTGACCTCGGGCTCCTCGCCCAGGTCCCATGGGACGCGGGGTGGGGGGTTGTTTCTTATAGGCTTTCAAGAAGCTTTGGAAACAGAGGCAGCCGCTTAGCCCCCGACTTGCCTTTACACATGCCTCCGAGGCCAGCAAGGAACGTTGACCGAGGCAAGAAAGGCGCCATTCAAGAAAACTGGGGTCCGGGGCGGGTCTGGGGTAGATTGGGGCCGTCGCGCTGGGAGTCTGCGTCCCTGCGGCCCGAACGGCGTTGGGGAGGCGGGCGTTAGACGCATCTATACATGTAGGGCGCGCGTGCC